CCCCCCCCCCGCCGCGGGGGCACCCAGTGTGGATGCTCATCAGCTTCGGCCAGGGCTTCTTCCAGACGTGCCTGTTCTTCCGCCTCCTGCGGGTGCGACCTCCCGTCACCCCACCCACCGGGGATGAATCCCCTCGCGCACTTTTGCCCCTAGCCGCCCCATGCCCACCCTGCCATCACCCCCTCCCGCTCCCGGGCAAGGGCTCCAACTCACCCGCCTGGCCATCGCCAAAAATCAACCACAGTTGTGGATGATTTTCCGCTACAAGCGATACAACAAGTTCTGGCTCATGTTCTGGACCGTGGTCTACTGGCTGCCGAACCTCTTCATGAACATCATCTCCAACATCCTGCGCACCTACGGCCCGATTGTCGTCGTACGAATAGCCTCCCCCTGCTCGGCCTTCGGCCTCGGCCTTGCCGGCTCCCGCCTGCCCCACCCCAACGCCGCCACCATGTCCTAATGCCTCCTCGGTGCCCTCTGCCCCTCGGCTTCAGAACGGCGAGCTCGGCTGCTATGACCACAGCTCCATCTTCACCTTCATGCTGGCCATCAAGATTGTTGTTCACTTCGGTGTCCTCTACGTGCGCGCTCTTCGACCAGGGGGGGGGGGGGGGGGGGCCTTTCCCCTGCCCGCCATCGATGCTGATCATGCCTGCCCCCGGCCCCCGGCCCTCCTTTTGCTGCCCGTGCTTTTCCATGGCGCCACAGACTTTCGCCATTCTCAACCGCAAGGTAAAGCAGAAGTACTTCAACGAGTACAAGGTGACCATCATGCTGCTGCTTTCCATCACGATCGTCTACGGCATGTTCCTGGGCGTGTTCGTGCCGCGTCTGTACCGCCGGCCCTACGGCTATACCATTGTGCTGCTGATTCTGTTCGTGGTGCACATCATGTTCTGGGTCCATGTCGCCGTGCCCTTCTACCACTAGTGCGTGCTCACCGCGGGCCGTGGGCGCCCCCCCCCGGCAGCAGTGGGGCCCGCCGGAAAAGTCTCGGCCTTTTGCCCTGCCCACAAAGCCCCTGCTGACCCGGTCGCCTTCCTCTGCCCCCCCGCCCCCCCCTCCCCAGCATCTTCAACCGCGAGGAGTACCTGATGGAATTCAGCCACAGCATGCGCCTGGACTACGACTCCTCCGAGGACAGCAAGAGCCGCAAGGAGGCCCGCAAGAACTCGACCGGCGTCTACAGTGAAGGCTCCAGTACGTGCACCTTGGCATCTTCCGACGCCCCTTCCCATCCCCAGACACGCCCTTGGCACAGCCACAGCCTCCTCCCCCCCCCCCCCCCCCCCCCCCCCCCCCCCCCCCCCCCCCCCCCCCCCCCCCCCCCCCCCCCCCTCTCCGCCTCCTCTCCCTGGGCAGCTCGCGCGAACACACACCCTGCGTGTTGTCTTCCCATGCTCCCCGCCCCTCCTCCAGCCGTGGTCCTGCTGCTGTGGCGGCACCTCTCGGTGGTGGGGTGGGAGCTTTCCGGCATGCGCGATGCGATGCTTTCCGGACCTTTTGCGCTTCCTTTTTTCCTTTGCCGCAGACGGTTTTCCCTCCCTCTGCCTGAGCCCAGTGTCTGTCCCTTGGCCGGTGAATGTGTGTGTGTGTGTGTGTGTGTGTGTGTGTGTGTGTGTGTGTGTGTGGGCCTGCTAGTTTGCCTTGGCTCTCCCGAGGGGCGAGGTGCTTATTGTCAAGGCCCGGGCACGAGCCAGATGCCAGTCCGCTTCGCAGGTGGGCCGCTGTGCCACACGCGAGGCTGCCGGCCTGTCCCGGAGCCCGGCCGCATGGGGGGCATAAGGCAGCCCGACCGGATGGGAGGGGGGCGGGGGGGGGGGGGGGGGGGGAGAAGGGGGGAAGGGGGGGGGGAGTCTCCCCCGGTGTGGGACGGGGGGGGGGGGGGGGGGGGGGGGAGGGGGGGGGGGGGGGGGGGGGGGGGGGGGGGGGGGGGGGGGGGGGGGGGGGGGGGGGGAGGGGAGGACGGGAGGGGCGGGGGGGGGGGGGGGGAGGGGGGGGGGGGGGGGGCGGGGGGGGAGGAAAAAACACGGCGGAGGGGGGGGGGGGGGAGGGAGAGGAACACCAAAGAGGGAAGGGGGGGGGGGGAAAGGGGGGGAAAGGGAAAGGAAGAAAAAAAAAAAGGGGGGGGGGGGGGGGGGGGAATGGACGAGGGGGGCACCGGCCAGGGCGGGCGGAGGGGGGGCAGCGGAGGGATTGGCGGCTGAAATATTTAATGGAGCCTGTCAGCGGCTCAGTCTCACAGCGACTCCACAGACTATGTTCCGCTCCGTGCTCTCGCGGTAGGATCCCTTTTCCTCCCTCCTCGCCTCTTGCCCCTCGCTCCTGGCCTTCCAAGCACGCAGCCACCTGTTTCCCGTTCAAGCCCCCTGCCCCCCTCGC